CCCCTGAACGGCTGATAGGAGAACTAGGAGGAAAGTGTGTAGCGAAGGGCTTGTATTTGAGTGTGCACGCTCAGGTGTGTTTGCATGTGTATACACGGTGTGTACACGCACGCGAGTCTATGTCTGCATGCCTCTGGATGATGACATTCATAGGGTTAAGGAGTTTCTCAAAAAATGAGGCAGAATTTGATCTGCTGTTGCTAAAAAGATCCGCAGAAGCAGCCAGACATCTGAGCAAAACATTGGCCAGAGCTGCTGAAAAATAAATATCGTGACTCTCAACTCCTCTTTCAGATAAAGGAAGCATGTGGGGTGCTTCTTAAATGAGGGCTGCTAGGAGGGGACACAGCTCATAACAACCATTGCACATGGTTGTTTATGTGTCTTTACAATTCAGGAGAGGGCTTTGTCCTGGGAAACAAGTGCCTTCAGCCCTAACTCTGCCACTTACTTTCCCCGTGTCTTCAGGCTATTGGTTGTTTTTCTCTCTGAACTTCAGTTTTCCATCCCATGGAATCTTTAGAATAATTCAGTGACTCAGTACTTGGGAAGCACTCAGAGTAGTGGAAGACATGGTAAACATCCTCTGGATATTGGTTGTTGGTTGTGTAGGAGCAAAATGGATCTCTCCAGCCCATCATAAGGGGTCACAGTCGACTCTCTTACACTAAAAGGTTAATAAGGAAAAGCATAGTGAATTGACTTGATCAATTTTATGTAACACAAAAGGCTTTAAATAGAAGACCCAAAGACCCAAGGGTGAAATGCTCATTTTTTAAGCTTAGGTTCAATGAAGTATGGGCAGCCATGTGGAAATCTGATTGGACAGAGGGGTGTGATCTAATTTTAATGGACTGAGTGGTGAGACCCAGCAAGGCCTGTCTGTTCATATCCTTCCTGGCCTCTCTATGCAGCATTCCTTCCTCCTGGGTGCCAGGCAGCACCCCTCTGAAATGGGGGTCTTTTTCCCCACATTTTCTATTGAGTGCATTATAGTTGTACATACTGGTGGGATTTGTTATTACATATTCATACATGCACACAATATAGCAATGTAATTTGACTAATATCACTCCCCAGAACGTCACCCCTTTCTCCCTCCCTCCCATCCCTTGGTCCCTTTCCTCTATTGACCTCCCTTTGATTTTTAGGAGATCTGCCCCCACCTTTGTTTTCCTTTTCCTCCCTAAATTCTGCATATGAGACAAAACATATGACCCTTAATTTTCTGAGTTTGACTTATTTTGCTTAACATGAAGGTCTCTAGTTTCAACCATTTTCCTGCAAATGCCATAATTTCATTTTGTCTTATGGCTGAATAAAATCCCATTGTGTGTATACATATACCACATTTTCTTTATCCATTTATCCATTGATGAACACCTAGGCTGGTTTCTAGTTTGACTATTATGAATTGTGCTGCTATAAACATAAGTATCCATGTATCACTGTAATGTAATTACTTTAATTCTTTAGGATAAATACTGATGAGTGGGATAGCTTGGTCCTATGGTGGTTCCATGCCTAGTCTTTTGAGGAGCCTCCATGCTGATTTCCATAGTGGTTGTACTAATTTACAATCCCACCAACAGTGTAAAGGTGTTCCTTTTTCTCCACATCCTCTCCAGCATTTGTTATTACTTGTATTCTTGATGACTCCATTCTGGCTGATATGAGATGAAATCTCAGTGTAGTTTTGATTTGCATTTCCCTAATTGCTAGTGATATTGAACATTTTTTTTCATGTATTTGTTGGCCATTTGTATTTGTTGTTTTAAGAAGTGTCTGTTGAATTGATTTGCCCACTTATAAACTGCCTACTTAATAACAAAAAAGTTACTGATTTTTTTTGGTGTTGAGATTTTTTTTTTTTTTTAGTTCTTGACATATTCTGCATATTAATCCTCTATCAGAAGATTAGCTAGCAAAGAGTTTCTCCCTGGAATGGAGGTCTTTATGATCTACTGTCAGACAGGGTAGGTCAGAGAATTTCTTTATGGCTGATTCCAAGACAGAAAGGCAGAGGAAGATTCAGATTTGTAGGCTTTATGGCTTTGTTTAGAGAAAGGGGTTATAGTTCCTATGTCCAGCCTTGGGCAAGGGAAATGCTAGTTTCTACGCTGTGTTTTGGGCGAGAAAAAAGAGAACGTGAGAGAGTAGTGCAGGAGAAGATCAGAGAAAAACTTTGCTTCTGAGGCTTTCACTAGGGCCTCCACCTTGGTGTATAGTTTTCTGAGCCCCAAGAGTGTCGTTATTTTGCAAAGGACTTGTTTGCACGTGATTAGCTCTGATCTTCAAGAAACTGGTGAGAGAGATTAGACATGCATTAGCATCTTGCATATGAAAAAACTGAGACTCACTGAAGGAAAAGCCTGTACCACAGGCCCCACAGCCACCGAGTGGCCAAGCAGGGCCTGGAATCTCAGTCCTCAGACAAGTTTTGATTTAGTGTGTGCTCAGCACCTGGGCATTGAACAGAATCCGAGAAAATCTTACCTAACCTAAAAGGTGCTGCTCCATAAAGCCCTTCCTTATCATCTTCCCCTAAAACTGACCTCTCTCTCCCTTGTACTTCCCCAAACTTCTTTCTCTAGTGCCCAGATGGCTTTTCTCTCAGTCATTGCATTTTGTAGAATGTGTGGTACTGGCCTCATCCCTCCCAAGCTCCTAGATCTGCGAGTGACTTTAAGCGCAGATCTGCTGGACAGCTTGGTGTTTCTGCTAAGGGTTTTGCATACGGTGGTCACTCCAGAGTAACAGCTGACACAGAAAGCATGAATGTGGCATGCCTCACCTGTGTCAGCTAAGCATGGAGAGTGAAGGGTCCTGGGAGAGCTGATGGGTGCCCACCTCCACCAGCATATAGGGTCTGCTCCTTGTCAGAGCTGCTTCCCCTGTATATGTGTGGGGCAGCTGACTCTGCTTCCTGAAGTGACCAATGTGGTCCGACAGGCTGACTGGTTGAGGGAGCTCATTTGCATCCAGTCTATTTTCCTGGATGTCATTTCAGTGAGATTGTCCGCAAATGTCTGAGACTGGAAGAAGAATGTGTTCAGGGGAAATCTAGGAAACACTGTCCTGTTTCTCCTCCTCCTCCTCCTCCTCCTCCTCCTCCTCCTCCTCCTCCCCCTCCTCCTCCTTCTTTTGTAGATATTGTAATTCAATTTTCCACATCTGTCAGGTTGCAGGCTACTTTATGGTACCTTCACTGTGCCCCTCCCCACCCAGAAACCCTCTCCACACCCCCTCCCCTTTTCTTCTTCCTGGGCTTCCCTTTCTCGCTCTCCAATTGGCCTAAATCCCAGATGGGCAAGGATACAGAAGAGAAGAGGTATTAATTTTCTTGCTTTATGACCCCGCCCTCATTCCTAAATGTAAATGTTGCTCTGAGGACCTTTACTCCCAATGGTGGCCTCACATCTACACGGAGTCAATATATCTTAGTGGTTATGAGGTTGTAGTCGGTACTGGAGTCTGTGGGTCTAAATCCTCATTTTCCACCTTACTATCTGTATGGCCAGAGCAAGTTATTTAACTGCTTTGGGTTCCTCACCAGCAAGTAAGGATGACAAGATACAGGTATCTTGAGGATTAAATAAGTCAGTATTTGCAAAACATCTGTACCTGACATATCAACAAGGGCAGGTGAGCCTTTGGCCTTGTATTTCTAAAGCTGGCAGAGAGAGCAAAAATTACATATAGGCAATAATGCCCCTGAAAGCTCTCAAAAGATCAATCAATTGCACTGTGTGAAATACTGCAGAGAACTTACAGAGTTAAGTATCTCGTGGAAGTCTGGCTTGTATTTAGAGAACACATTGTATGGAGAGTATGTATCTTGAAACTTGAAAGTTGCCTCCAGTACAGGGATGTGCTCCTACAGTGCCAGCTTGGAGGGAAATCTGAGACAGCACCTGGGAACCAGACTTCCTTCTCTCTTTCCACCTATATTCGCAGGAACACAGAGTAAAACGCTGAGTAGAATCATCTGTTGCTTTTTTTTTAAAGTAACTTACTCTAGACACTTACTATCTGGGCACGTGCCTGCACATATGGGTGATTCCTCTTCACTATAGACCCTGGGGAAGCCTCCTGTCTGCCCCAACTACTTGGGGAAGTTATCCTCCCTCCCAGGCCATTGAAGGATTGCTGAGGTCTCTACCAGTGCAAATGGTCTGGGATTTTGTTTGACTAGGAATGAAGCTGGTGAGAAAAGTCAGGTATCTACTGTGTCATTGGCCTCGTCTCTGTGGACTGGCACTGGGGTGAGAAGTACAGTGGGACTTGATTATTCTAACTGTGGGAACAGAGGAGGTTGTCCGATCTCTGAGCATCCCCTCTTTGGCCTGCACTGCAGTGCTCCCCTTCGAACAGTGTTCTGGTTCAGGGTCATGGTAATGTGCAGTGCAGAGTGACCCCACCCTGTCCTTGCAGGCAGAGCCCTTCACATCACAGGTCTTTGACTGGGGGATGCGCGGGGGTAGTGGGAGTCTTGAGGCCACCTCGGAGCAGAGCCTGAGGAGGGCTTCTGTTGCCACAGTCACCAGGCACTCCAGGCAGGAGGACCGCAGGGTGCCTGTGGCCAGGCTGTAGAGGAACAAGCGCCCGGCAGTGGATCTCAAACCCATGTCCCTCTTTCCTTCCACTCTCCCCTCTGTTTGATTTCCATGGAAATCTGTTTGAGAAACAGCTGGCAAGTGCTGGGCATGCGCACTGTTTCCTTGAAGCATAGAAGTAGAAGGATGTAGGAGGGAGAAAAGTGGAGAAAAACGAATGTGGGTTTTGTGCAACCTTTGAAGGTTCAAATTAAGTTCTGGAGAAACGTAATGATTTCGACAACTTTCTAAGACAAAAATAAGGAGAAAACACATTTGAAGACCATTAACCCAGGGTCTGCGACTCTGTCCGTGTCCGAGTTTCTCTCTGCTATGAGTTCTCTATCTGAGCTCTTGTCATTCCGCCCGTGGTTACGTTGTGTCATTTGTTTTCCTTGCAGAGTGTCCACAAAGACCCCAAAATCTGGAGTGACGTGCCCTGGCGTGGATTATGAAGTCCCTCCGGCCGTGTGTTTTCTCTTGCTGACCTCTGCGCGTGTCTACGCGGAGGGTCCACTGATCAAACTCCTCATCATGCATCAACTTTTCAGATTGGTTTTGGGACAAAAAGATCTTTCACGAGCCGGGGACCTCTTCTCCTTAGATGACTCTGAGATTGAAGACAGCCTGACAGAAGCTTTGGAGCAGATTAAAATAATTAGCTCATCTTCAGTAAGTAAATTGGCTTGTCGATCAGCTGCCTAAAACGGCCTGTCCTAGAGCCTGGGGACTGGGTATCTCCCTGGGGAAGGAGCTTTGCTGGAGGGAGGTGAAGGACAGTAGCCTTGGTCTCTCTGAACTGTCCTAAGAAATAGCACTTGGTCCACCTTTTGTCCACTCATGGAGACCAGAGTGGGCATTCTCACAAATGCATTGTTTAGGGGCTATTTTTGCATTCTTGAATTGTCGTGGAGGGGAGAGGTAGCAAGTTCAAGGAAAAAGCAAACAAAGTGGGGTGCATCGTGGGGGCTGGACAATGGGGGGAGACAGATGACACCTCCTGCCTCCCAGGAGACAAGGACGAATATCCTCTGCTGCCTTGAGCTGGATAACTCTGTGTGCCCTGTTGCCTCTATTTTGAATTCTTCCTCTGCTCCATTTTCTACCCTCCATCCCCACTTAATTCAGCTTACCTGTTCCTGATCCCAGGTGTGATATGACAGATTTAAAACCTCCATGGAACGTCCCCTTCCCTCTGTATGCCACTCTGCCATGTCAAGGGTCACCTATTCTGAAAACACTTTCCAGAGAAGGCAGAGGGCAAGTGCCCAGTGCAGTTTGAGGTTGACCTTCTCAGTTGAGCTTGGTCCTCTGTGACACTGATCCCACTCAGAGGCCTGGGCCACCAATCCTCCAGTCATATCCCCACAGTGCATAGAGTCCCCAGTTGGCAAACGTGTGTGTATTTCAGAGATGACAGCTGGTTTCTGTGCAGTAATAAAGAGAAGTGTAACAGGCACACTGGCAGCTAGCATGCACCCTCGGAACTTGTCAGCATGTCCTCTTGCTGGCTGCCAGTGGTATGCCATGGTTCCCCACTGGCCAGTGAAGTCACTGCCCAAACACTCTTCTTTTCTCAGGTCATGTCTTTGTCAGAAATTTCCTGTCCACATTTTTTTTCCAGGACATTAATCAATTTAGTCTGACTCAAAACATACAGTGATCCTGGTTATATTCCCATTTCTGTGCTGTTCCTGGCCACCCCTCTTCACTCCTCTGGAAACAAGTTGAATGAATAGGCCACTCATTTTTGTCTTTCTAATAGGAAAAGAAACAAAACCCAAAAAGCATCTGAGGTCCCTAAAGCCCATTTCCACCAGAGGTCACTAGTGGCCAATGATTTCTTCTGTTTCTGTCACTAAGTGGTTGGTCTCACAGACATCAAATGCAGGAGTTGAGGACTGGAAGGGCCTGTTATGTGTCCTCACTGGTTAACTGTTAAGGCTGGCAGATCCCTTGTCACCAGGAACATTATGGGGATATCAAGCCCTCTAGTTAGCATCACACCCGACCAGCAGGTCTGAGGGCAAGGTGACCACTTGTCTTCCTCATCCGCTGTCCTCTTTCACGTTTGTCTTCTGTTTAGCTGTAGCCATGGCAGGGAGAGCAGAAGGATGGTGACTTCTAGTTTACATACATTAAGTGTGGGGTGACAAATGCCACTTGCTCCTGTCTTCCTATCCCAATTAATCCACTGAGCCCTCATGCCCACTCTGTAACTACCTACCCCATGAGCTGCTTGTATCCTCTCTCCTGACCAGGCCAGGATCTTTCTTACTGATCTTTCCTAATGACCCTGGATCTCAGTAGTCATGTCTCAGTTCCTCTTCAGAAATGTGGAACAAGAAGTCACCTCCTAGCTTGCCTTCTCAACCTCCCTTCCAGGGCAGAAATTCTTCCTTGGGATTCCTGACAAGCAGGTGGCTTCTCCTGCATGTGCAATGGTGAGGACACTGCAGGTTCTGAAACTTCCTCCTGCCTCAGTTTTCCTCTGATAAAACAGTCTCTTTCCATTGCATGGAGCCGTGATGGGCCTTCTTCACTGATGGTCCCCTGCCCTGTCCCAACCCACACTTGTCAATCAGAATTAGTTCCCATAGGGAGAATTAGTTCCCATTAGGGAAGATGTCAACAGAGGGTGATTTGTCATGGTGGTGCCCCAATAGGCAGTCCTGGGTTTCCTGCCCCCTGTGGCTGTGGTCACCTTGCTGTCTGCCTCTTCCCAGGCCAGACACTCCAGCTGTTTTATCAGATCCCAGTCTGCCTCTTGTCTTTATTATTATTATTATTATTATTATTATTATTATTATCATCATCATCATCATTGTCACTTGTTGAATCTGTCCACACTTTTCCTGTTGTTTTTGATCAAAAATTCTAACTGGTAAAGACATTGCTGTTCCGCTGTTGAAAGCTCCAATGGCTGGCTGTGCCTGTTTCAGCTGGATTAAATCTTGCTCTTTGAAATTTCTACTCATTGTTCTTTATTCTGTTCTCTGCCTCCAACAATTGAGAGTCTAACTCTGTTCCTACAAGGAAACGTTTGAACCTTTGAAAATAAGCATCAGGTGTCACCTCTGGCTTCTCTCTTTCCAACTTGACATTCTCAGTGAGCTCGGGTTTTCTGTGACAAAGTAGAGGCCTGTGTCCAGGAAGGCTGTGCCACCTGACCCCATAGACCTTGACCCTCAGGTCTGAAGGTTTAAGTTTGTCAGGATACGTGAAATGCAATCCCACTCGTTCTCTGCAGATGCAAGACTTGGAAGTCAAATGAGAATGCCAATTTGTTGATTGAACTATGAAAATTGTTACTCATATGGGTCAGAATTCTTATCCAAGACTGCTGCTCAGCCTTTCTCTAGAGAAGGAGCACAGTTACTAATTATGTTTCTTCCTCCTCTGTTACTGCCACATTCCAACTTCTGTCCCTGAGACACACCCCTTCATCTATACAGACACCATGTGCAGGGGGTGTCTCAAGCCAGGCTGGTAGAGAGCTAGTTCCACTCTGAAGACTGGACCTTGTTAGTTTAATCCTCCCAGGGTGGTCTTGTGCCAAGCCCATGGAGCACACCCCAAGGTAGCTCCCAGTGCTGCTAGGTCCTCCACATCTGGTCACCTCCCTGGAGTGTCCTGATTTGTTGTCATTATTGATCACTATCAGTACTCACTCAGACCAATTGCTTGGAGCACTGGCTGATAACAGTAACATCACACATTGTCTGCATTTATCCTGTAAAGTGCTAAGATTTTGTGGTTGAATCAAATCTTATAAAAATTTTAAGTGGATTATGTGACATTTTAAACCTTTACAAACATCTTCCTGACTGTTGGTCCTCATTCCAACATGTCTGGACTCTTTAAATATCGTGATTCTTTCTCCTTAATCCAAGCCTCCTCCTTTAGGTTCCCAAGTTAACCAGTATCCTGATTGTAATACTCATTCATGCTTGGTTTTATCTCTTTGTTACATATGCATGGTTCAAAAATTATTCAAGCGTTGTATTTCACGTTTTTAAACTTTATATAAACAATGCCAAAAGGCTTAATACTATGCTTTTGAGATTATGCATTCTGGTTCATATAGTTCCATTTGTTTAATGGGCAGAGTATTCCATTGTATGACACACCACAATTTATTTATCCCTCTTTCTTTTGTTTGGCATTTATTATTTAAACAGAGCTACAAGAAATATTCTTACATTTGTCAATTTTGGCAAATGTGTATTTCTAAGGTACACAGCCAAAAGTGCAGCAACTGGTTCTAGAGTTCTGTGTGTTTCCAATCTTACCATTTACGCCAAATTGCTTTCCCAAGTGATTGTACTAATTTATACCCCCCAACAGCAGCGTATGAGAGTATTGTGGCCTTGTACACTCACCAATGCTTTCTTTTACCAGATTTTGAAATTTCTTTTCAATCTCACTGAAGCAGCATGGAACTGTTGTCTAAGCATTTACCTCCCTTGTTATTAGTGAGGTTCACCATTTTTTCAAACGTTCATTTGTGATTTGTCACTTGGGTTTCCTCTTCAGAGAAGTGCTGTTTATGCTTTTTTGCTTCTTCTGTTGTGGTTTTAAAACATTTTCTTATTAACTTGGAGCATATGACATATTCTTGCAGTAATTCCTTGACCCTTAGGCATCTCTCAGTGTAATTTCTTGTTCCAATGTGTAAGCTTGTCTCTTAACTTTGTAATTCATATTTATATCTGGTAGGACAATATCCACAAACTTCTGCTTAAAATCTGCTTTAATTTGTTTTTGTTCTTTAATAGTTTTATACTGAGCTTCTCAAGTGTTATGAATAATCCTGTTGGTATGTTCGTGAAATTTCATTTGTTAATTGATTAACTTAAAGAAAATCCTTATCCTTGTCAACTGTCTTCTTATCTATAGACATTTTTCTAAATCTTAAATATCATTAATGATATTTTATAATTTTTAAGGATCTTAAAAATGTTGTAATCCTTTGTTAAAAGTATTTTATAGTTCTATCTGAAATGACAATTGATAATCTTTTTTAAATTATATTTTTCAACTGTTTCTTCGGGTGATTATAACATAAATTCTTGTATAGTGATCCAGCAAACTCACCAACTCTCCTGCTAATGCTAACAATTTGTGTACCTACACTCTTCCATTTTTTCAGCCAGTATTTATTAGGTGCAAACTATGTGGCAGATGCTAATACTGGATGTCAGGGTGCAAACATGGAAAATAGACCAAAAAAAAAAAAAAAACTTTGACATAACCCATAAATCGGGATAGACAGAAAATAAAATCAATAAGAAAAATAGGTAATATATTAGCAGGTGATATTTAAGTGTTGCATAAGAACATTATCTGTTTGGTCCTGGGTTTTTCTTGGTTGGTAGGCTTCTGAAGGCGTCTTCTATTTCACTGCTTGAAATTGATCTGTTTAACTTGTGTATATCATCCTGATTCAGTTTGTCCAAATCATATTACTCTAGAAATTTGTCGAAGCCCTCAATATTTTCTATTTTATTGTAGTTTAAATTTTCAAAATAGTTTCTAATTATCTTCCATATTTCTGTAGTGTCCATAGTGATATTTCCTTTTTCATCATAAATGTCAGTAATTTGAGTTTTCTCTCTCCTTCTCTTCATTAGCATGGCTAAGGGTTTATCAATTTTTTTTTCAAAGAACCA